GGCGCCCGGTCCCCTGGGTCCCCGCGGCGCTTCGGCCGTGGGATGCTGGGCACGAGCAGGTGAGTGTGGCAAGGACTGTCCTGGCGCCGGGGGGGCAGGTAGCCCTTGGGGGGCAGGTAGCCCTATAGCAGGGCAGGTAGCCTCAGAGTAGCCCCGTCATGTGGCAGGTAGCCCCATGGCGGGGCAGGTAGCCCTATTGCAGCCCCGTGGTGGGGCAGGTAGCCCCGTGGTGGGGCTGGTAGCCCCGTGGTTCAGCCCTTGTTCGTGCGGCACGACCCGGCTCAGCGAGGGGGCGGGACAGGCTCCGAGCAGCCGCGTCCCCGTGTCCCATCGCTCGGGTGGCTCGGGAAGCCGGGGGAGCTCCCTTGGGGACGGGAGGGCAGCGGGGCTCAGGATAAAGAGCCCATAGAACTGTCGGCCTGGCCTCCAAAAGGAGCGTGGAATAGCACAGAAATGCAGGGTGAAGGGCAAGGGGGACGGATCTTCCTCCTCTTTGGAAAATGCCCCTCTCCGTAGGAGAGGCCGAGCGCGGACAATGCTCTAGCCTGCCAGGCTGGGAAAACATCCGTGCCTGGTGCCCCTTCCTAGCAAGCATCTCGACCATCACATCCATCCTGCGGGGACATTCACTTGCTGTCCGTGGCCTTGCAGCAAGCAGTGTCTGTCGGCCTGAGGTGGCTCCGGCCCTGCTCCCCGGTTGCAGGGGTCTCGATGGATGGCGGGGCTCTTCACTCCCATTAACTTGGCTCTTGGCTTCAGGAATCTCTTTGCTGACAGCGCTTTACCCGGGACAAATAGCGACCTGCTTTACAGGCCCTTACTGCTTACTGCAAAGTAGGAAGGAGAAGGACAGTGAGGACTGAAATACCTGCAGCTGAATTGTCCTCGCACCGTCTGTGTTTGCGCAGGGATAACTCTGGGGGATCAGGACAGCAGCAAGGGCTAAAGGTCTAAGCTGAGCGGTGCTTTCGGAGAGCCCTAAAGCAAGATAATCGCCTTGCAGGTGGGAAAGAACCACCTTCCCTTTCCGACCACGAGAGCGTCTGCCCCGGGATCCAGCCCTGCCGGAGCTCCGCACGCAGCCCCCGCTTCCAGCATCCAGCGGGATCACCGGCCTGTTTCCGGGCTGCCGGGCTGGTCCCTGCGGGCTAAAGGAGGGAGCTGCAAGTGGCCTCGGGCACTCGGCGCTTCCTGGGCCTCTTCACAGGACGTGTCCAGCCCGGCTGCTCCTTCCCCGAGCCGAGGTCGTTGTAAGGGAGCCCCTCAGGACCCGCAGGGTTAATTCAGAGGACCGAAATAAATCGCAGTCCCTGCTTGGTGACCGCTCAGTCTCCCCGCTGTGAACGGGGTCAGGGGGATTTGGGAGGCGAGGGGGTCGGCAGGGGCCGGGGGAGGCTCCATTGCGGCCCTGCCAGACCTATTCTCCATGGTGCATTTCCCATTCAACGCGCCCTGAGAGCTGTGAAAGGCTCTGGCACCGCGGGAGCAGCCCTTGCGCTCACCCCGGCGCTCGCTCCCACCCTTTCTTCCAAAGGGCTTCCCGGGAGCAGGGAATTAATAACGCTCATCAAGGGCCCCTTGGAAGGCTGCAGACGTCACGGCAGGGCTATGGATGGAAACCCAGCGGGCAGCGACGCCCTCGCTGCTGCCCGCGGGGAATAACCTCCCACGAGGAAGATGAGCGGAGCTTCGGCCTCGGCGCTGCCCAGCGCCTCTGCCCAGCAGTTCCTGCAGACAGAGCCGGCCCAGGCTGATCTGGGCAGTTTGCTCCTGCGTAAGGAACATCATTGCAGAGCCTTGAGAGGTCACGGAGGGTTGTGGAGCCAGACAGCGCGGTGCCCAAGGGCTGCGCGGCCGGCTGCTCCGCTGCCGCGCGGGCGGGCGCCGCTCGTGAGCCCGGGAAGCAGCCGTTGCGCTCAAAGGTGTCTCTGCACCCTGGGACGCAGGGTCAGAGCGACAGGCAATGGATCCCCCACAGGAAAACGTGAGCTTTTCTCTCTATCCCTTACTCCTCATTCTGTCCGGCTGCAGTTACCCTGGAGATGGTGCCTTGTGAGTGTTCGGGGTGTCGGGAGGCAGAGGGACTTTCCTGCCCTTGCTTGTGCAGCCCCATTAATGCCCCAGGGGTAGAGCTCCAGATCAGGCCTCCCGTGTGCTCTAACGGACAAATCCTCCTGGAAGAGACCGGCAGCTTCAAAGAAGCGTTTGTGTCCAGTGCCTTGCTGTTGTTTAGCGCCAACCCGACACCAGTGAATGGGATGGGAGCATCTGGTCTAATTGCGCGTGCTGCTGCCGTGTGCTCGGGGGTCACCGCAGCCCCCTCGTGCCCGCGAGCGGCCCTGGGCGCCCCCGCCGCGGGTGGGAGCCCTGCCGAGTCCTGCCCCGCTCTTTGCAACGTGCCGACGGGCCAGCAAGGGAGGTGACAAGTGTTGACACTAAGGCAGGGCCCGGGCAAAGTCCAGGCGGCAGCGCCGCTGCCACCGCTTCCTCCTGGGCTCGTTGGGCCGCGTCCTCGCGGGGACAGCCCGTGTGTGTGCCGCGCCGCGCAGGGCGGCCGCCGCGCCGCCGCTATCAGGGACGGCCCTGCAACCGGAGCCGCGCGGACCCGCGCGCGCTTCCTCCTCTGCCTGCTGGCTACTTAAGCAGCCCTTCCCGCTCGGAAGCAGCGGCGGGAGCGGGATTGGGATCGCACGCAGCAGGTGAGTCCTGGCCCGTGGAACCCCGCAGCTCCATTCCCTGTCCCTCTGCCCCCAGCCTTGCCGGGGACGCTGCTGCTCTGGCGCCTTTCTTCTTCTACGCTTGCTTTTCTTTACTGCCAGCGTGTTCTGTGGTTAAAATAGAGTCATTTACTGGCTGTTGGGACGAGGTGCAGGCGGCGAGCGCTGCGGCTCGGTCGCTTTGGGCTCAGCAGCACCAGGTCGTGCTGCAGGGCTGAGGTGTAAATCTCCCTCCCAAGGCTGCCCGCCCGGTGTGCACCCCTCCCAAATGAACCAGGCTGAGACATCCCGCATTTGAGAAAGGGGTGGCTGCCCCGGTCGCTTCCTTGCACATAGAGAGTGTCTGAAGCAGCGCTGAGCAACCCGGGGGCCTCCGAGGGCTCCTTTGAAGTGATGTCCAGGGATTAAAGGGAAGCTGCTGCCGTCCCCGCTCTGCTGTTTGACCTTGGGCAAGTCATCCGAGTGATCAGTGGTAAAAGCAGATACCCCTTGTGACAGCCGCGGTCTGAGGGATCGTGGAGGGGGGAAGGTTGATAACTCCGTTAGGAAAGTCATCAGTACTTTTTGTGTATAGTCGGCAGCTCCTCAGCTCAGGAGCAGGGTCTCTTCCACGGCAGGAAGGGATAGAAAAGGATGCTGGCATCTTTGCAAAAATCTCCTCACCCCTTCCAACTTCGCACAGGTATCTCTCCTGTGCCTTTGGCTGATTGCGGGAAGAGAAGAAAGGGGCAAAGGAGAAGTCAGAACCAACGGCTCTTCCTGCACCCAGGCTTTGCCAGGGGCTCCCTAAGCCCGGCTGGAGGAGGGATGCGGGAGGGCTGGGACGGAGCGGCCAGGAACGACCTGGAGCCCCAGGACGCTCTCCGTAGGAGGCTTTCCCTTTCCCCGCTAATTGCGGCAAAGAATTTACAGGGCAGCAGGGCTGCACGACTGGATTTTCCCCTGCCGGGATCACCTTGTCCCGTTGGGCAAGAGCCCCATCCCGTTAGCTGCTCCTGGCAGAGGGGTGCACGGCAGGGACGGCCCAGGGCCGCGTCCCCAGGGAGAAACTCAGCAGTGGCGCCTTTAAGTTGAAGTCAGAATGTGCGAATCCCTGAGAATTGGGCTGCGCTTGGACTATTTTTCTCATTTAACTGCATCTGTTAATGTCGCCCTTCTTGCTAACCCCTTCTCCCTTTCCCAACCTAGGCAGAGCCCACGTTCCCAAGGTGCTCTCAGCAGAACGGCAGTTTGGTTGACCAGATGAGATGCAGTTTACCTTGCGGGATTTCCTTATTTTGCAAACACTTGAAATGGCAGGTTCATAACAGGTTGCTAAGAGGCATTCACTTACTCTTACCTTGGTTGCTTAGACCCTATCGTGGTTTGGCGGCCTCTCCCCTCTGAAGCAGGTTGGAGAGAGGGAGCATGTTGCAGGGCAAATAAATGACTCAGACTAATGAGTAAGGTAATTGCTGCTCGGCAAGGCTAAACTGGGTCAGGTTTGTTTGTGAAACTCCACGGAGGCACCATCTGTTCCCTGCGCCCCATCTCCAGGGCTGGAGATGGGGTTGGGGTGAGAGCGCTTCCCGGGAAGCGGCGGAGCAGAGGGCAAGGTGGGAATGGGAAGATGTCGTTAAGCAGCGACGTGGGTCTCTGGAGACTCCCCTGCGTGAGTGCAGGCTGCAGCCTCCGTCCTCGGCGGGGGCGTCTAATTGATTTCAGTGGGAGATGGGACCCCCAAGTCCCGTCTGAAGGCCAGACCTTTGTCTCTCTGCTCCGTCTGCAGAACGGGGCTGGATGGGCTGCTGAGAGGTCGTTAGACCTCCCTTTGCCCCGAGGCAGGATTGGATTTTCCCAAAGCATTTCTGACAGGTGTCTGTCTCACCTGTCATAAGTGCTTGGAGGCAAAAAGAGCACACATGGAGCCAGTGCCTTTCAGTCCCGGACCTCCCCGAGGTGCCCTCAGCCTCGGTGTCCAGAGCTGCCGAGCCTGTTGGGAGCAGGCCCGTGTCGTTTGGTCTTGCTGTGCCTGGGGCTACCTGTTTGGGGTTGTTTTGCCCCGTTCTGTGCATTGGAAGGTGCTGTTTCTAACACGCCCGCTCTCCTTGCAGCACGCAACACCTGAGCGCCGGGGCAGCTCAGCGCCGCCGGGGCCGCGTCTCGCAGCGCGAGCAGGAGGAAACGAGCCCTCGTCGCCGAGCCCCGGCCATGGGCGGCAGCGGCCGTCCCGGCGGGAGGCTCCGGAGGCCGCCGGGCGCCGCAGGGCCGCGGGCGGCCGCGCAGTGAGGCGGCGCGGGCGGCATGGCGCCGCGGGCCCCGCTCCTGCGCCACCGCAGGGCCCAGCTGCTGCTCCTCAACTCGCTCACGTTCGGCCTCGAGGTGTGCCTGGCCGCCGGGATCACCTACGTGCCGCCGCTGCTGCTCCAAGTGGGAGTGGAGGAGAAGTTCATGACCATGGTTCTGGGTAGGCTGCGGAGCTCGCTCCTCGTGGGAAGGACGGGAGCGCCGTGGTCCCGCGCGGAGCCGTGCCCGTAACTCCCCTCTGTCTCCGCTCCAGGGATAGGCCCCGTGCTCGGCCTGGTTTTCGTGCCGGTGATCGGCTCTGCCAGCGACCACTGGCGCAGCCGCTACGGCCGCCGGCGGCCCTTCATCTGGGCGCTGTGCCTGGGCGTCCTGCTGAGCCTCTTCGTCATCCCGCACGCGCGCGGCCTCGCCGCCCTGCTCGCGCCCGGCGCGCGCCCGCTCCACATCGCCCTCCTCATCCTGGGCATCGGCCTGCTGGATTTCTGCGGGCAGGTGTGCTTCACGCCGCTGGAAGCGCTGCTCTCCGACCTCTTCCAGGAGCCAGACAACTGCCGCCAGGCCTTCTCCGTGTACGCCTTCATGATCAGCCTGGGCGGCTGCATCGGGTACCTGCTGCCGGCCATCGACTGGGACCGCAGCTTCCTCGGCCCGTTCCTGGGCGGCCAGGAGAGCTGCCTCTTCAGCCTGCTGGCCATCATCTTCCTCGCCTGCGTGCTGGCCACGCTCTTCGTGGCGGAGGAGGCGGCCGCGCAAGGGGACGTCGCGGCCGTCCCGGCGCCCAAGGACGCCGCGGCCAGGGCCCCCGCGGGCGCATGCTGCCCGTGCCGGGCGCCGCAGGGCCGGCGCGCCGTGCAGGCGCTGCGAAACCTGTGCGCCCTCGCGCCGCGGCTGCACGGCCTCTGCTGCCGCGTGCCCCCCGTCATCCGCCGCCTCTTCGTGGCCGAGCTCTGCAGCTGGATGGCGCTCATGACCTTCATGCTCTTCTACACGGACTTCGTGGGCGAAGGGCTGTACCACGGCGTGCCCAGGGCCAAGCCGGGCACAGAAGCCAGGCGCCACTACGATGAAGGTAAATTCCGAAGCTGCAGGGCCAGTTCCCTCAAGCTGCAGCATTTGGTGCCCTGCTGCCCAGCCCTTGGTTTCCCCTTCCAGATCCGGGTCTCGCTCCCAGCTTTCCTGGCCCTCCTGCCCTCCCATACATCTTGCCCTCGGAGCTTTCCACTCGCTGCCTGCAGTACACTGCCTCTTTGTGCTGCCTGCCCATTTAACCAGGGGCAGCTTAATGATTATTTAACACTTGCAGCGTAGCCGCTCGGGCAGGTCAGGACCTCATTGTGCCAACAGCCGGAGAAACCTGCGCTGAGCAATGATCCGTGCTCCAAACAGTTAATGGTTTTAATTCCCTGAAATCTGATAAATCTTTGCACAGGGTAAGGTCCGGATCGCTACCGGATACTGTAGTCACTTAGCCAGCGTTGTGTATTTTCCCATCGGCTTATGCGTAATTCCTTGTTCCTTTTGTTCCGCTGCTGGTTTTGGCATCAGGTAGCACATCCTGGTTCACGAGCAGGTGACAGATCCTGGGTCTTGAGAGGGAGAAGGTGAGTACAGGGACTCCCAAAGAGGAGAATGGCAGCTGGTTTCCTAACTCCCATTGCCTCTGCAGTTAGGCTGGACTGTCTAGGAGCACGTGTAGGGAGAAGCGGGAGGGAGGTGTAAACTGGATGGTGCAGCCGGAGATGCACGAGGTCATCTGCTGCCTGGGACTGTCACACTGTCCTGGCCTGGACACCGGCGGGGAGGAGATGCCACCCAAGGGTGTCTGCATGACCCAACAGCTCCTCTCACCACCGCCGCTTCCCGCAGGTGTGCGCATGGGGAGCCTGGGCCTCTTCCTGCAGTGCGTCACCTCCATCTTCTTCTCGACAATCATGGACTGGCTGGTGAAGCAGTTCGGGACGCGGGCGGTCTACCTGGCCAGCGTGGTCTTCTTCCCCGTGGCCGCCGCCGTCATGTGCCTCTCGCGCAGCGTCGCCGTCGTCACCGTCTCGGCGGCACTCACGGGCTTCACCTTCTCGGCGCTCCAGATCCTGCCCTACACGCTGGCCTCCCTGTACCACCACGAGAAGCAGGTAGGAGCACGCAGGGATTTGCAGCCGGGATGACTCCTGGGCCGGCCCCTGCTGCCCAGCGGAGCTGGGACGGGCAATGCAGCCTTTGCAAGAGAAACACGCTCCTGTGCTCAGAGCTTTTCCACAAATGCCTCTGGATTCCTGCCTGTCTTCTCTGAAAATTCATCCAAACGCCATTAATAGCAGGAGGAGGAGAAAATAGGGTTAAGAACCGCCCTCCTTAGGCATCCTCTGCTCACCCCAAGCGTGATATTTTGTAGTTTTGGATAGCAGGGGTGGGTAAAATGGGAGAAATCAGCTAAGGTTGGTGTGTCCTCCCAGCTCTGCAGGCTTTTAGGGAGCCTGGTGCAGGCTGCTTAGAGATTCCCATGCGTTTTCTACAACCAAGTCACTTCTGCAGTGTGATTAACTTCAGTTGTTTTAAAAAATCTTGAATATGCAGCCTTTAGAGCTCCTGCTTTCATATTTTTGTCCAAAATATGAAGATCAGTAAAATGAAACCTGACATTCTTCCTATTCCCCTAACTCTAAGGAAAACAAATATTGTGCAACTTTTTACACCAACAGAAAAGCTAGCAATCCTGTCTCACAGATGTTATCTTGTGGAGAAGTCCTAGGAGGTTCCTGAGTTGCACACTGGATTAATAGGAGTTTCTCTTGTGCTGCAAATGCAAAATTAATTTGTGGTTTGAGAGCAGCTCTTTCATCCCAATGGCAGGCGGTTCACTGTGCAGTGAAATAAGTAGGAGTTTTTACCACAGGCATCCAGATGTTCACGTTGAACAAATACTTCTGACCAACCCACCCCAATTTGCACCAGGCATCCTGTCAAAATAGGACTGTGAGAGAGCGCTCTGCTTTGCAAAAACTGCAGCTTGGCTGGGATCTCCCATGGATGTAATAGGAACAGAATGGAAACCAAAGCCCACAGGCTGGGAATGCGAAGGCCACATGCCCGAGCGCTTGCCAGAGGTTTGACAGGGAGCTCTCCTCACACAATGAGACGGGGTACAGCTGCATTTGCTTTTGCTGCCCGAGCTTTAAAGTCCCTTCTTCCCTCACCAGCTACTTTGCAGCAGGCTGCGGTGAGACCGCCCAAGAAGCAATCCCTAAAATGCCTTTTGGAGCAACTTCTCCATCTTCTCCATCCTCCTCCTATCCTCTCTCACTGTTGAATTTTGTCGTAGTCTTGGGTTGCTTCCCCTTGTTCCCACTTCCTCTCTTCCTTCTCTTTCTCTCTTTTCCCCCTTTTTTCTTTTAAATGCTCCCCCGCAGTGAGGCAGCAGAAGGGGCACCCGAGGCGGCTGTGGTTTCACCCCGTGCGCCGTCGCCGCATGTCCAGGCTGCGTAAGTCGCTCCCTTCTCCCTCCTGCCCTCTCCTCTCCGCACGGCCACTAAACCTTGCCCAGCAGAGCAAACCCAGGCTGGTTTTCCCAGCGCCTGGCGAGGAGGGGACGTCCCGAGCAGAATGTCCCGAAGGGCAGAGCCTTGGCCTTGGGCTGCCCCGCTCGGCTGAGCCCCGGAGCCGGAGCACAGCAAAGGCAGCCAGGCTCCTGTCTCACACGGGTCCTTCCCACCTCAGCTATCCCCGCCTTTAACAGCCCTGACCTGACACATTCGAAACCCAGAATTATTTTTATTCTTCTATGTGCAGCATCCCGCCTGCTCTCGTCTCGCCTGCTGGGATCCACCCTGCATCCTCATCCCTCCTTCTCTCCCCTAGGTATTTTTGCATAAGTTCAAAAGCAAAGAGGAGGAAGACACAGCTCAGTCGGACAAGAAACCGCTCTTCTCTAAAGGCCTCCTCTCCAGCCAGAAGCTGCCTTTCCAGAACGGACACACCGGAGGCCTCTTCTCCTCTTCCTCTTCCTCGCCGCCCGCTCCAGCTGCCGGCTCGGCCCTGTGCGTCAGCTCCCCGTGCGAGGTCTCGCTCATGATGATCGTGGGAGACCCAGACTCTGTTGCCCCCGGCCGAGGCATCTGCCTGGACCTGGCCGTTCTGGACAGCGCTTTTCTCCTCTCTCAGGTTGTCCCGTCCCTCGTCATGGGCTCCATCGTGCAGTTCACGCAGTCAGTGACCGCCTACATGGCGTCAGCCGCGGCCTTCGGCCTCGTCGCCATCTACTTTGCAACCAAAGTTGTCTTTGACAAGAGTGACATGGCCAAGTGCTCGGCGTGAGGTGCGGGGCCGAGCGGGGCTGTGCGTCCCGGCTCCCGCGGGTGCCGTGGGCAGCTCGTGCTGTCCCCGTGCCGGGGGTCCCAGGGGGCCGGGGGCTCTGCTGGGGCTGGGGGCAGCAGAGCTGATCTCAGGTGTAAATAGGAGGCAGTGGGACACGGCGCTTGGGCCACCAGCGCTTTCCACCTGGTGCCTTTTCCGAAGGAAAGCGCTGCCCGCGCAGCACCAAAGGGCATTGCGGGGTGAGAGAAAGGAAATAGACTTTTCCTTTAAAAACGGGTCATGTTTTTGTGTGATTCTACCCGAAGTGAGCAGGAGAAGCGGTGGGAAGGGAACAAAAGATTCTTGGCTACCCCGTTTTCCAGTTGTGCTCTTCCCCTGCCTCTTGGAGCTCTGCTCAACTTCCTGAGTAATGCTACTGCAAATAGGACAAGGGGAGGAGATTTGCTTGGCAAAAGGATGGGGCCAAGACTCAAGCGGTGGGCAAAGAGGGGTGCATATGTGTACACACGTGCTCCGGTCCTTCCCCATCCAGGTTCTGGCTGGTCCAAACCAATTTAGGAGAAAAGTTACATTCTTGTTTTAGAAAAACAAGTAATGTTTCATTAGGACCAACTCCAAAAGGTGACTTATCTTTTACCTTCATCCCAAGATTCATCAGATGGAAAGGACTTTTTAACTTTTCTTTTGAGCTGTTTTTGCTTTCCCCACATAATTCCAATCAGCTGAGCTCAGAACCGTGGCTTTCTTAGCATTTGAGGCGATCCAAACTCTGCTACCAACACGTAGAGCAAGGCATGGAGAAGGCTGCAGGAGGCGCTTCCCTGCAAGAGAACGGTACTTAAGGTCGGCTGCTTTAAACAACGTAATTGTGACTATTATGCCCTTAATATGCTGGGGAGGTGTGTGGGCACTGAGATCCACCCGTGAGGCTCCGCTGAAGGGCAAAACATTGCTATTTTTGCAAGGTCATGCCAGGCTATTGCTTGGCATGGATGCAGGGTCACTCCCCTGCTGTCTGCACACAGATCCTGAGAGGGCTTCTCCTAAGTTTTTTAAACTTCTCCTTCCCGTAAAGAGCCACTGTTATTGTTTTATTTCCTCTCAAATTATATGCCTACCAGCCTGCCTTTCCCACAGCAAGGTTTGCGTGCTGAAATGCAGCTGTTTTGGGAATGGATGTGGCAGCTGCTTAACTGTCTGTGGAAATGGTTTTGCTTTTGCCCGTCCTACCTTGGTCTGAGCCACTTGAAGCTTTATGAGGAAGTTTTTAGGCCAAAGATAGGGTATTTTGGGGGTGAATGCTTCCACAGATCAGGATTTTTCAGCACTTTCTAACAGATCCCTCCTATATGAGTGTAGAGGAAGCCCTTTTTTTACTGTATAAGAACACCAGGAACCTTCACACATGGAGGCTGCGAAGATGCTTGATGTTTTTGACAATTGAGCCACTTTTTTAAGTGCCTAGAGCACTTCCATGGCAAACTCCTGGTGCACAGGTTTGATGATAAAGTCCTTGAATGTTTCCTTACGAGCAGCCAGGTGATCCTTGAGAAAGCCAGAGGATAAAACAAGCCCATTTTATAACATTGGGGCTGTGAGAGGAGGGCACACACAGAAGCATCCCTGTTCTCCTGCCCTGTGCCAGGCTCTCGGCCTCCGGCCCTCATCACTGGCGAGGGCAGGCCGGGCTTGTCCGGTTTCCTCCCAGTCCAAGGGAGGTGCCTCCATTTACTCCATTGGTTTCCATGGTTGGAAAAGACCATGGAGCTGCTGAACTCATGATGCTGCCATCCTACACGGGTGCCACTCGTCCTATCTCACCCATGGCCTGACTTGTAGCAGAGCTTGTGCTGCAGCTGGGGCGACGGGATCCAGAACCGGGAGCCCCTCAGCCCTGCATCCTCGCGCTGTGGCTCTGCCATGGCCAGCTCGAGAGGAGCCCCTTGGTTATTCCCTGTGGCACTCCCAGCCCTGGCACCCACTTTCCCAGCCCTACTGCTGGGGTGAAACACAGCAAATTTGGTAATTGCTCCTTTCCTCCTCGCCCTCCTATTGCATCCGGAGAAGCAGCCGGGCCGCCTGCCAGCCACGAGTGTGCCAGGAGCCACCCCCGGCCTTACAGCCCGGGCCCCACGGGAGGTCGGGCCCTGGTGTTTGGGGCGGTTTGCCCCAAGAAAGTGGCTGTTTGCGGCAGGGGAGGGATAGTGCAGACTGCAGAGCATGGCCCCCTGTGGCAGGGTGACCCCGGCCGCAGTCCGGCCCTTCCTGCTCTGCCAGAGCCGTGCTGGCCGGGTTCTGCGTCCCGCGCGGCGCTGAATTTCCCTGGAAAGCGGCAAAAAACAGAAAGCGGGGAAGCGGGAGCGGCCTGTGCGCCACGGAGCGGCCGCCAGGGGGCGCCGCGAGCGCGGGCCGCGGCCGGGGGGGTCCCGGGCAGCCCCCGCCGCGACCCCCCCCCACTGGGCCCCGCTGCTGGCGGCCCCCAGGTCCCCCTCCAAAAGCAGCTTCAATTCCCTTCTCCCCTGCATGGTTCCTGCCTCAGCTAGAGTGGTTCCTTTGCCCCTGGAGCACCAGTTCCCCCATCTGTGACGCTGGGTAGTTTGCAAGTAAGTACAGAAAATAAAAGAGACAGAAGAACTTGACAGGAAGCAAAGCAAGCACCTTGATTGCTTGCACACCACCAGCAGACATTTAAGCAGCAGGCACCCTATCCACCACTTCTGGGGAAACAAAGAGCCCATCACCAACTCACATCTACCCAGGGTGGTTCCCAAGGATGCCAGCCCAGGGCCTGGTGTGTGACCATCCCTAGGGCTGCAAGTCATCCTCCAGCTGGAGTAAGCACATCTGCCCGGGACACAGCACCACGCACTTGCATAAGCCTTTACACAACTGCAAAATCTCCTTCAACAGCAGATTTGCCCATCCTTATTCCAAACAGCAGGAATCTCCATCACCCTGTTCTGATGCAGCGACAGGGTTGCATCGAGAGCACCTGGCTTGCTCCAGAAACAGTGCCTGGTGCACTGGTGCCAGCTCAGCGCTGCCCGCCGAGGCAAGTATATTTAGAAGAGGTATCCCTGTCCAGGCGCCAAGCCCAGGTAACCTTCCTGGGCTGAGCCCGGTGCGGCCCCGCTCCCCCGGCAGCCCGGCCCGCTCTCCGGCCCCGCTCCCTTGGCGCAACCCCTGCTCCAGGGCAGGTGGTGGTGGCCGTCACGGCGGGAGCTCCGCACGGCGCGGCCCGCGCACTCCTTGGCGCAGCACAGCTCCGCGGGCATCAGCTGCAGGAAGGCCAGGGGGTAGAAGAACAGGTTCTCCCTGGCGCCAGGACTGGAGCCAGTACTGGGGCCAGTACCGGGGCCGCATGGGGCTCGCCTGCCGCCACCAGGACCCAGGCCCAGCCCCACCACCAGGCGCGCCACAGCCACGCGCACCTGCAACAGCATTCCAGGCCGAGCGCGCCGAACCAGGCCGGGCGAGCCCAGCCATATCGCCCCGCGCCCTGCCTGGTACCGGTACCGGGCTGCGCTCCGCCGCCGCGCGCCCTCCTCCTCCCGGCAGCACGGGGCAGGGCGGGGGGGCCACATCCTGGGGGGGCCACGTCCTCCGGGGTTCCGCATACAGGAGGCAGTGCAAAAATTCTCCATTGCTAGTGGGAAGATCCTGCTCCCATTAGGTGTTAACATTGGTCAGGACACAGATGACCCAGATCAATGCATCTCCACTGGCTGCGAGCAGAAGCTCTGCCATGTGAGACAGTGTCACTGCTGCAGCCTGGCACTTCAGCCTTCTGCCCTGGCCACAGCCCCGCTAAGCTGACAAATGCAGCCTGGTTTTCAGCAGTCCTCAGCTGCGAGCACGGCTGCTGGGGAGCGCGGGCAGCCTTCGCCGCCGCCCGTGTCCCTGCGAAGGAGACCCGCGGGGCCGGCCCTGCTGCCCCCGGCCCTTTGCCCTCCGCTCCCGCCGCACCCCGGCAGCTCCGCCCGGGCAAGGCTGCAGGGACAGCGGCTGTCACTGGGTGGCGACACAGCCCTGCCGCGTCCCCAAGGAAGCCGGGATGTCTCTGCTGCTCGCGGTATCTCTCAGGCGAGGAATTGGCTGTGGAGGGAGACCATGGGGCTGACAACCTCCTGTCAACCCGCTGTCATGAAAAACATCAATTAAAAACTAACAACACAGGAATTAGGCTCAAGTAATGCTATCTGGCTTCATTTCTTATGCAACAGCTTGATATGAAGAAAAGTAGAGCTTCATCATTCCACTGGAGTGCAAAGCACCAGAGAAGGAAGGATGAAGCCAGGGGTGTTTTCTCTGCATTGTAATGTACTTTCTAGTAAGAAAATGTGGAAGAATGATGTGTTGGTGGCATTTAAACCAGTACAGAAGTAAATTAAACATCTAGATCATAAAATTACCAGAGGATCTCTTAAAAAGGCTCTTCACAGCAGTGCATTAGTTGACTGCACAGCTTTAGTGTGTAATGAGCAATATATTAATTTATAATTAGTGTAATACAGCACAACTCAGCAAATAGCTCTGTGCACTCTGGATAATTCATCAACAGAAGAAGCAGCATTTAATGACTTCCAAGGCTTGCTTGTCCCATGTAATTGGGAAGCTCAGAAATTATTGTTATTCCTTTTAGGGGATAATTTGATTGCAGCCACACATCTTTGCTCCGTGGGCAGCACTGCTGCTTCGGAAGCGTTCAGAGCTCCGCAGCCTCCAGCACATGACCTCTTTGCAGCTCGCTGTGGTCAGCACTGGTGCCCATTTCCTGAGGCTTCTTCCCTCACTTCTGCCTGATGTGGACAGGGAGAGATCAGCAGAGGAACCTCTTGGAGTCGCTTAGCTTTTTCTCCTTCCCCCCCATTCTGCTGCTGACATTTCCTCTTCCCTCACATCACCCTGGGGATCTTCATGCTAAATTCTCCTCTCAAAGGTTTCAGGAGTCTCCTGCTCTCCTGTAATATCACCTGACAGTAGTGATACAAAAGGCAGCA